CCTGATTGGCCCATTCATTCTTTAGTAGGGTGTTCTTTAACCTCCATGTTTTTGGAGGAAGAATACGTTAATCTTTAAATATACTCTTTATAGGGATATAGTATTTACACATATACTTCAGTAACTAGTCCATTTCTTATGTGACTTACACAGAAAACCTACAGAATTTGAAAATTGCTCTATTTCCAGGAAATAATACAGGTTATCTATATACCAAATTAATCCAGATGAAAACCAAGGTGACATTTTAATATTGAAGAAATTCTAAATAATTTTTGAAAAGGCTCGCTATATAAAAATCAGGTTATCTTGTAAACAGCTTGAGATATACATATATATCTACCTGTCAAAATCACCCAGTAATCTATGAGATATAAAGACTTATTACATTTCTATTAGTTTTCATAACTTCTGCAAAGTAGGAAACTTACTCTGTCAATTCTTGCAAGTCATTGTTCTTTCTTTTCAGAGATGTAAGTGTTTTGCAAAAAGAAACATCTCCTACTCAAAACTTAGCTCTAATATTTTGTGGGGAAAAAAGAGCTACAAAACAAAAGATTGACTTACATGGGAAAGTCACAAAACTGCAACCTGTTATAAATAAATGCTTAAAATGAAAATGAATCTAAATGCTTCCAATGCTCCATTAATATTCAAAGGATTAAGAAATGCAACCCCATCTTTTTCTTAGAATGAGTGAATACTAACCTGAAGAATTATAGCTCTTCTAGATCCGTTTTTTTCCATAATTACTCAATTATTCATTAGAATATGTAAGACCTCTATTGGAATCTTTAAACCAGTGTTTCATAAATGGATTTAACTGTAAAAGCCTGGTTATACAATCTCTTCCATAAAAGCAATATATTTCTAATATTTATGTCTTTAAAATATCCTATAGTAAAATTAATATTTCTATACAGAAAGAGAAGGAACTATTTCGTCCCCGACAACTTGATAACATCTCTTTCAACTATAGTTATAATTATCATGTACGAACTTCCAAAGCAGTTGTCAAGATTTAACATTAGCATTAATTTATGTCATAACTGATGGTTACTATAAAGATAATGGCAAAGCATCCATTTCTCCAAAGACAGCATGGATCGAAAGGGAAATTTCTTCTTAATTACTACTAATCTGCCCATTTTTAATTAAATTGATTAGTAATTTATTATCTTTCCCTTTCTTAGAAGGCTGTTATTATCATATAGCTTCCCCAAAGTTAGCAGTTATCAGTGATTTTTAAGCAATCCAATTACTTCTAGTGTGAATCCCACCATTTTGTAAAACTAGTTTATGTTGAAAACTTAATACCTAATTTCTTTGTACCCTAAAAAGGAAATTTTAAAACTGCAGAATTTGCCCTCAGTATTTCACACCTCAAAGTGAGCTGTGTCAAGATCTTATTGTTTTGAAAGACAATTAAAAGTGGAACTTTTATGCCTTTCCCCCTGGTATGCTAATCAAAATAGTTGTTATTAGTATGTATCTTCCTAGAGGAAAGAAATGAGGTCTTTGTAATTTCCTTTGAAAAATATCTACTTATGCTATCCATAACTAAACAGTAAATTATGGCATTATTCCAAGTGTTTTCCCATCAGTTTCTTTTTTAAAGGCTAAATAAAAATGAAAATGTCTGACATACAAAATAAGAAATACTTAATTCAAGCAAGCTTTAAAAGAATTGAAGTGCTTCATGTGTGTTTCTGAATCAAAATCCGTAATTGATATTAAGCTTTGATCAGCATCAAACTTAAAGTATAACACTGGCATAGCTATTTGAGGCTAGCAAATTTTCATGATACTGGTTCATAGTATAACTTCTTAGAAGCTGAACTTTCTATGAAGAATGAGAAAATGAAATGCAATGTCTCTTGATGTAAGTGACAGAAATCTTCCTTCACTTTGTGAAAATACACTAAGACACGCAGGAAATATTGGCTTAAATTCTCTATTTCATTAGATATGCCTTGTATGAATTGACTATAGCTGATTTAAAAAATTCACATTCAAAATACAGAATGTATTCAAATAGTTAAATATCAATGAGAATGAAAAAATAATGGCTTAATAGAAAATAATCTCCATTAATTAACAGTTACTGAATATAGTATCTAGTACATTTATAAGCCCCACACTTTCTCTCCTAAATTTTCTGTTTATAAAAATTAACAGTGAATGCGCAATGGCTGCCGAACTCTTATGTACAGGGACTTAAGTATTTAATTCATCTCTCTCTTACTAGATTTAAGCAAGGTTCAGTCTTTTAGGTCTATTTAAATTTCACCATACCAGAAAGGTCTTGCTTGAGGGCCCCCTCATCACTTCTTACCACCCTCACTCTTTCCTTTGTCTTCATAGTACTCCTCAGCACTCTTCAAGCATATGATTTGTTTGTTTGTCTATTGTCTGCACCCACTGCAAAGTAAGCTCCAACAAAACAGGGTTTTGGCTCATTTCTTCATTGCATTATCCTCAGTGCCTATATACTGAGCACATAGTAGGCATTCAATAAGCATTTGTTTAAAAAAAATGACTAAAAGGCCATCAGTTCCAAAATTCCAAGGAAAACCTTAATTAAAGACATTTGACAATCCTGACTGCCAAACTATACCAAAAGTTTTATTTTTAAATAGTAGCTAAAATAAAGGCATAGTAAGTTTTCTTTTCTGCCCAAAGACAAAATATCATTTCAAGGAATAGTTGGGTTACTAACAGTTGTTAATTGTTTATTACCACATTATTCCGTTTCTGTAATTGGTTCTTGTGCATACCTTAACAAGTTTCAAGAGTTCATAGAGATCTTCAACCTCATCACCTTCACATTCGGTGTATACTCGTCCTGTATCCACGCTCCTTCCTCTTATGGTACGGCGATAAAGGGGAAGAGCCATTGCTTCTGCATACAAATCAATGGCGTGATGACCCACTGTCTGATACATGTAGCTATCCAGTTCATCTGACCCCACTGTAACATTGAAAACAGAAATAATCAGTAAAACAGAGTGAAAAAGAAAGTGGATTTGAAAGTCCATCTGGGTTACTGCTTGGAGACTTACTACAGTATATCTCTCTGCATTTATGAAGTGAAATGAAGTAGAAGAGTTGCACATTTGTCCACAGTCTAGTCATCTCTACTACTAATTACAGATACATATAAATTTTTAAAACTATATACAATAAATGTTTAAAGAGAAGAGTAATATAGCCAATAAATTTTGATTAGTTTATTCGATTAAAGATTTTATTACATAAATGTTTTTCAAATCATTCAAGGTTATTTACAAAGTCATCTGGAGTTGTAGGGAAAACCTTTCTTAACTAAGTAGCTACTTGTTGAACAAGTGACAAATATCTGGAAAAATAAATTACATGCTCTTGATATATTTTATATTCAGTATTTCCACAAGACATACAAAAATGTATAAATTAAGAAGCAGTCCAAGATGGCTGCATAAGAAGACTGTGAGCCTATCTTCCACAGACATACCAAAACTACAGCTACATATGGCACAATTCTCACTGAATTCTAGCTGAATAGCTCCCTCCACAACAAGGAATAAAAGGGCAATTGAAATGTGTGATAAAAGCAGAGACTCGATCTTGCCCAAAACCCCAGCAGAAAGGGATCTCACAATACTGAGCCCTCTCATTGAGGAGTGAGGGTTTGTGCCCCACATTGGACACCCCAACCCTATGGAACCTGCACTAGAATGACAAGGACCCTAAAACAACCTGGCTTTGAAAACCAGTGGAGCACACATCCAGGGGGTCTAAGGGACCATGGGGATTTGAGATATTCCTTTTGAAGAGCTTGTGCACAGACTCACTCTTCCCAAGGCCCAGCACAAAAACAGCAGTTTGAGAGATGACTGGATTATATGTGAAGATTTATTTGCTAATGTGAAATTGTCGGCTGAAAGGGCAGGGACAAGTTGGGACTTTGTTTGGAGATGGAGGTGCTGGGAAGCAATATTTTCCCTCTCCTTCTTTCCACATTACTAGTGCTGGTGACAAGTGCAGGTGCCTTGTTCCCAGTACTTTCCCCCTACGTGGCAAAAGTTATAGGCATGCTCTACCCTCAGTGATCTTTCCTTGCTAAATCCACAGGCAAGCCCCACCTCTAGCGCTTTTTCCTGCATTGCTAAATCTGTGGGCATGTCCCACCCCAGTGTTTCTCCCATATCTTACTAAAGCCATGGGTGTGCTCTGCACCCAGCATTCTTCCCCTGCATCACTAAAACCCTGGACATCGCTAAAATCCATGGACATCAGCCTCAGTGCTCTCCTGCAACCTCACTAAAGCTGGCCACCAAGCACAGTCCACCCAACAGACACTCCTTGATCACCTGAACCTAGTAACCAGAGGGGCTTCTGTTTCTACACCTCACAAGACTGGCTCTGCGGAGGCTACCACACCTACAGCAGTGAGCAGACAGCAGACTGAAACTCCTCCTGTCTGCTTTGAAAAAGGCCCGTATACTTGCCCTGGAGCTTCAACCTGAGGGACAGGTTTCATGTATGTTTAGGTATGTTAGTCACATATCTAAAGATTACAGAGGTGTTCCAGGAACCACAGGCAGGCAGTTACATCTTTGAGCCCTCCTTTGGCCTTGTCACAGCTCACTGACACCTCTCAGAAAGAAGCCCTGTTTTTGTAACTGTTGCCCAGAGGACACCGTCAGATTTCAAGGTCTGGAAGTAGAGTTTATTTATACTTGTGGTCCCAGAGAAATGTATATATCTGCATTCTTTAAAAACTGCTGTCTGAGGATCTGGCTTCCAATCCACCTGAAACTAGTTCTTAACCGAGATCACTCCCTTTGGAATGCTGATAGGTCTTGGAACACCTTCAACAATGGGGTCTTATCAAGAATAAATTAGTCCACTTAGACAATCACAAAAGTTCAAAAGACAACCAGGAATTAGAGCAAAGTTGAATAAGGTTCATTTATAGAAGACCACTGCATCAAGACTGGAAGAGGTAGGGGCTTAGTTGGTTAAGGGTCCAACTTTGAGTCAGGTAATGATCTCACGGTCCATGAGTTCGAGCCCCACGTCAGGCTCTGTGCTGACAGCTAGCTCAGAACCTGGGTCTGTCTTCGAATTGTGTCTCCCTCTTTCTCTGACCTTCCCCCACTTTCTCTTGCTCTCTTTATCTCTCAAAATTAAATATTTAAAAAAAAGACCAGAAGAGGTAACTGTTTCATTTAATACATAGAAACAAATACAGAGAGTAAAGCAAAATTAGGAAACAGAGGAATATGTTCCAAATGAAGAATAAGACAAAATGTCAGAAATCACCTCAATGAAATAGAGTTAAATATTTTACCTGATAAAGACTTCAAAGTGGGTTTAATAAAGATGTTCACTGAATGAGATGAGATGGGAAAGATGAGAACTTCAACAACGAGGCAGAAAATATAAGAAAGTACCAAAATGAAGTCACAGAGCTGAAAAATACAATAATTGAATTGAAAAAGTCACTGCAGTGATTCAAAAGCAGACTAGATGAAGCAGAAAAAGGATCATTGAGCTGGAAGACAAAGCAATGGAACTCACCCAGAAAGATCAGATCAAAAAGAAAAAAATATTAAGTGAAGATAGCTAAAGTGACTTAAGAGACAACATCAAGAATAATAGCATTCACATTATTCGGGTCTAGAAGGAGAAGACAGAGAGAAAAAGAAGTAGAAAACTTATTGAAGGAATAATGGCTGAAAACATCCCTAACCTGAGGAAACAGACATACAGGTCCAAAAAGCAAACAGAGTTCCAAAAAAGATGAACCTAGAGAGAGCCATAGCAAGACCTATTATAATTAAAATACCAAATGCTAAAGACCGAGAATATTAAAAGTGGCAAGAAAAACAACAACTAGTTACATACAAAGAAACACAACCCACCCCATAAGACTATCAGCTGATTTTTCAGCAGAAACTTTGCAGAGAGAGTATCATAATATACTCAAAGTGCTGAAAAGAAAAAAACTTCCAACCAAAAATAATCTACCCAGCAGAACTATCTTTCAGAACTGAAGGAGAGATGAAGTATTTTCCAGACAAGAAAAGCTAAGGTTGTTGATCACCACTAAACTGGCCTTACAAGAAATTTCAAAGGAATTTCTCTAGGATGTAAAAAAAAGAAAAAAAAAAAAAAGAAAAGAAAAAAAAGCACTATATCTAATAACTAGAAAACATACGAAAGTAAAAATCTGATGTGTTAAAGCAAATATATAGTAAAGGTAATGAGTTAACCACTTCTAAAATCAGTTTGTAGGTTAAAGGACAAAAGTAGGAAAATTTACTATAATTACAACAGTCAAGGGATATATAAAATTAAAACATGTATAATATACTAAAAACATAATGGGACACTTAAGTGTCTCAGTCGGTTAAGATGAAACTTAAGCTGAAACCTGACCTGGTTTTGGCTCAGGTCATTCAGAAATAATGCCTGAAAACTTCGCTAACCTGAAGCAACAGACATACAGGTCCAGAAAGCAAAGAGAGTTCCAAATAAGAAAAATTTTCTCAGTTCATGAGTTTAAATCCTCACCTGGGCTCGACGCTGACAATGTAAAGCCTGTTTGGGATTCTCTCTCTGCCCCTCCTCCATTCACATTCATTCACTCTCTCCCCCCTCTTAAAAAAACAAAACAAAACACTTTTAACACATACAATGTAGGGGAGGGAATGTAGCTTTCAGAATGCATTCAAATAAAAGTTGCTATCTACTTAAAACAGACTACTATATATGGGCTATTATGTATATATGAACCTCACAGCAACCAAAAACCAAAAACCTGTAATAGATACACAAAAGATAATGAGCAAGGAATATAAATCCAACATTTAAAAAAACAGTATGGAGGTTCCTCAAAAAATTAATAATAGAACTCCTCTATGACCCAGCAATAGCACTGCTAGGAATTTACCCAAGGGATACAGGAGTGCTGATGCATAGGGGCACATGGACCCCAATATTCATAGCAGCACTCTCAACAATAGCCAAAACATAGGAAGAGCCTAAGCGTCCATCAATGAACGAATGGATCAAGAAGATGTGGTTTATCTATACAATGGAATACTACAGGGCAATGAGAAAGAATGAAATCTGGCCATGTGTAGCAACATGGATGGACCTTGAGGGTGTTACGCTGAGCGAAATAAGTCAGGCAGAGAAGGAAAAATACCATATGTTTGCACGTATAGGATTAGGAGGAACTTAACAGAGGACCGTGGGGGAGAAGAAGGGGGGAAAATAGTGGAGGAGAGGGAGAGAGGCAAACCATGAGAGACTCTTGAATGCTGACAAAAAAATGAGGACTGATGGGGGTGGGGGGGAGTGGAAGGGGGGTGATGGGCATGGAGGAGGGCACTTGTGGGGATGAGCACTGGATGTTATATGGAAACCAACTTGACAATAAACTATTTAAAAAAAGACAATGAACATTTAAAGTGATTATTGATATAGTTGGGAAAAAAAAAAAGAGAGTGGCTAAATGGATTAAATAAACAAACAAACACAAGACAACTATATGTTGCCTAAAAGAGATTTACTTTAGCTCTAAGGACACACACAGAATAAAAGAGAAGGAATGGAAAAGATATTCCATGCAAATGGAAAAAGAAAAGTGGCATTGTTATACTTAACCTTAAAACAAAGACTACAACAAAAGACAAAGGGCATTATATAATGATAAGAGCGTCCGGCCAAAAAGATGATATAAAATTTGTAAATAGTATGTACCCAACATAGACACCTAAATATATAAATATTGCCAGGTCAAATATTACCAGATCTAAAAGAAGAAATAGCAATATAGCAATACGATAGTAGAGAACTTTAATATTCCCCATTTACATCAATAAATAGATCATCCAGATAGAAAAATCAACAAAGGAACATCAGCCTTAAATGATACATCAGACCAGATGGACTTGATAGGTTTATACAGAATATCCC